CCCTGTGGCCGTCAGGATGCGTCAAATGTCAACGATGGGTATTGTTAGACTAACTTGAACTCTTCCATAGTACTGTTTTTATGATTGTTGTGGTAGTGGTATTATGTACGTCTTTGAAGAAGTTTGGATTAGTTTTTCGATTATTTTAGGTAGTTTTAATAACAATTTCAATCGGATAATCTTTCTATAGTTTTTTCTTTTATAGTGGTTGAGTTAATTTTAAGGCTTTGAATAGTTTAGACCGGTAGATCTGCGGAGAGTTAAAGGGAATTGGTAAAAGTCTGCTTTACTTTGTTCTTATTTTTAGAGAAATATTTGCTAAATATTTAATGTTGTATGCATTATATGTTACCACATAGAAGTTATAGGTTATGTGTTTTAACCTCGTTCATGCAGCCCATTTTGCGAATAAATTATTCTGAGTTATGAATGAATGAATATACTAATAAACACTTATAGCAAATGAAAAAGTTAAGTGCAGTAGCACATTATTGCGAAAATACTATGGAAACGTATCGGAGTGACATTAATTTTAATGTTTATTTGTCTTTTACATTGTATCGGACATTCCCATTTGAAGAATATAATACACAAGCAATTGTGTGCGCAATTTTCAATATTTCAAACACAAGAAAATGTTTATGAACTTTGTCAAAGACATTAGTTTTTATTCAATTTTGTTCTGAAATTTTTTGCAAAAACTCAATAATTATAACAGTATACGAAAAGAAGGACCATTGAATTGTCCACAGTCAGGAATAGGGAGACATGGTTTGTTTTGCAAATCGCACCGACGTAGTCATCAGTGGAGAAGCAGTGCAGAAAAGTGGTTTGAGGTGACAGACATATACGTATGATATGATAAAGAATACTTAACACTGAACGTTGAAAAGTGAAACTTTCGTGGCTTCCCAATGGCAAAAGTGAATGGCCTCAATTACCGATATATCAGTTCAACTGCAACTGAACCATTAAAATAAATAAAACTAATAATATTAAATACCTTCCTGTCTTTATAGAATTAAATTTAAGATGGCGAGAGCATATTGAATACATACTAATAAAATTAGAAAATTATTCTATAAATATTATCAACTTAGACAGTTTGCTTCACTGTATCATTGCATGGGATGCAGCCGAGAAAACCATAATTGAATAAGTTTTGATTGAGGTTTGATGCCCAAGTATTACAACTTTCAATTGTATATCAAATTAGCAGTAAGATTAGCAAAAAAAATCAAAGATACTTGCAAAAAGTAACACAAAATACCACGAGACAAACACGAAATAATAACTGCAATGCAAGAGTATCTAAATGCCAAAAAAATATGTTTTATGCGATATCAAAAATATTTACCACGTTGCATTTAAGAATAAACCATTTCATAAAATAAAAAATAAACCCAAGCAGCGTATAATCTCTGCGTATCACTGTTACACTTCGATTTGTACCCCTTATTGTTAATAACCCCAAAATGTTATAATATTTAAATCAAAAAATAATTTTGGTCAATATTTGGTTCGATAAACGGCATTTGAGTCACGAGTTTACCGTTAGTTTTTGGGTAAATTTTTGGAAAACAATGCGAATACATTCACTGACATGACAAGACAAACGTCAAAATTCCAACCGTGCGGTAAAATCTGCGAAAACATCCGATTGCTCCGAGATCCTTACGACACCGTGGGTCACGAAACTCACGTGATAAAGTGATGCTTTCGGCACTAAACAATGGTGTATAATTAGGTATTTTAGACAAGGGCGCAGAAAAAAATATTTTCAGCACCATTATAAATTATTACTTATTGTTACTAGCAACCTGACGATGGAATGCGTAACACGATGATGTTAAAAGTGGTTCCATTCAGCCGATATTTACAAATTAATCAACTTTAAACTATTGCTGGGATTTAGACCACTAACTATTTCATAATGACATTGTACCAAAAGACACGTTACAAATTTGTGTCACTATAGCGGTTTCAGACTTTTTTTTTGTTCATATATTTACTGCGATTTTATTGAAATTCTTGTCACATTACCACATTGAACAAAAGACATTTAAACGCAGAAGAGAAGTTTAATATATACAGCAAGCGGAATTAAAGATAGTATTGTTGGCAAACATCGACTTGTGTGGCGGTGCCAGATTTATGTTTGTTTCCGTACATATACTACGGGTTAAAGTTGGTAAAATCAGCCTATTTTTAACGAAAACCATATTTGGCAACTAAGAAATATTAAAATTATACACATACGTTACAGCTCCCTGCTTCATTACCAATCCCTACGTCTAATTATAGTAAAATTCCAAAAATATTCATTTATACCTTTGCAAAAAAAAAATATTTGCATTAGAAGTTTTATGCGACGTTGCCGTGCGAGCACATTTTCCTGAAAGTTTCTGATAGAGATCAATACTACATTGACGTTTCTGTTATTCAATTTAACGCAGTTATATAGCCAACCCACAAACCAAAAGTTACTAAATATTAACACTTGTTTTCATTCATTGCACACAGTATATTCAAAGCCGATAGTTACCATTACGAACGCAAATAACTTAAATGTGTTCGAAAATTACTGTAGTTGGACAGTGGAATCTACAGACTTCACCAAAGAGGAAGTACAGGAAGAAAAGAAACGGTAATAAATGGGCCATCAAAAGAATCATACTAATACATTCGTTTAAAAAAAAAAACAGAGAGCAATAAGAAAATTTGGAAGGAAAAAAAGTGATCTATCGTCTAGTTGGGTGTACCGTTAGTAAAACAGGATAAATATTTAAAAAGCGCGAGGCAAAGTCTCATGGAGGAATAATCCCTCGTCTTCTTGGAAGAACAAATGACAGTATTCATTGACTTCCTGAGAATAAGATCGGTTCAAAACAAAATATAGTACTTTGGTATTGATATTAGAATTGGTATGGGGCGAAGTAAAAGTGTTTGTTTGCAAGGCGTAACGAACCCTCTTGCAAGAGGGGCTAAACACAGTAGATGGTGAAAAATGGGTAAGTGAATGGAGTGATGTGACTGACACACAGGGATGTTGATAACATACAAGAAAAGCTGCAAAGCCCCTGGGTTGTATTTACTACAGTTCATATGTCTGCTCGCAACATAATGATGATGAAATACATAAATAAATACACATTACAAATATACATAAAATTTTTATCTTAATAGTATTTTTTCATACATAGCATCAATAGCAATTTATATATTTTCATATCATTCACACTTCTATGTAAGGTTTTATTCACTTGACTTTAGAATAATTAATATCTCAATTATATGCCCATCTCTATAATATAATTACGTATAATTAGTACTATATTACTTATTACTATATTACTTTACATACTTAGTTTATAGGGGAATAAAAAACCGGTAAATATTTCTTTTTTTTTTTATTAGAACCAGATGAAACTCCACCCAACTGATTAATTAAGTTATTGTCCGAGCTTTTTAATATTGAAAAAAAAGGCAAAAAGGCGGAAATTCAAAAAATGATTTACTGTTTGACTTGAGGAGCATATGTAAGCCTTGATAACTAATATAATTTTCCGAATTTTTATTTTCAATTTTTTTTCACAACCTCAAATATGAAAATACATAAGGAAGTTTTTCAAAAAAACGCAGCTTCTTATTCTATAATGATTAATATAAACATTCCAACTATGTAAACAAACTGAAAAAGTGAATGTAGGAGACAATAAGACGTGTTTTTATTGTGCGTTTTACTTTGCTAAGTTGAATACGTATTCTGTTTTAATATAAGTGTTTTTCTGTTGGGTGAATTTGGTTAAAAAACATCAATTAAGCATATGGAAAGTGTTATCTGTAAAAGTGTTAAATTTGAAAATTACAAAACAGTTACAGAATGTGACAGGATTTCACAATATCAACTAAGTAATATTAGAAATGAATTTTATGATCGCTTAGGATATTGCTTAACTGTTAATGAAGGGTTGTTTGAATAATTACTTAAGCAAACTTTAGCAATGCTTTGAAGCCGGATTTTTATTATATTTATTAATGATTTTTAATAGAAATTTGAGGGTCAAATTTATAATCGTTCCTGGAACTTTATTTTGAATGTGTGAGACCAAATGTGCGCGTTTTTATTGTAAACTTTTTATCATAATCCCATCATCCAATACCTCCAACACTATTCAACACATCCCAATGGTTTTCTGTTTCACTTGAAGAGCATTTTCAAAATTTTTATTTTCAATTTTTTTCACAATCTCAAATATGAGAATAAATGAGGAAGTTTTTGAAAAAAGCGCAGCCTCGTATTCATAATAATTATTATAAACATTCCGACGATGTAAACAAACTGAAAAAGTGAATTTAAAATACAATAAGACGTGTTTTTATTTTGCTTTTAACTGTGTTAAGTTGAATACGTGAACTTTTTTTAATATTAAGAATATGAAAAGAGTTATCTATAAAAATGTTAAATTTGAAAATTGCAAAACAGTTACAAAACGGTATTCCCTTAGAATGTGACAGGATTTCGCAATATCAACTAAGCAAAGTTAGAAATTAATTTTATGATCGCTTGGGATATTGTTTAACTGTTGATGGAGGATTGTTTAAATATTTACTTAAAAAATAAAGTATATTTTATATATTGTTTTGTAGCCGTAGTTATTTTTAATAAAAGATTTGAGAGTTAAATTTATATTCGTTCCTGGAAGCTTATTTTCACTTTCTTTATTGTAAACCAACCTTTATTTGATATGTCAACTTGAAGTCGTCAAGTTTTAGAAATGGCGTTATGGAAAATATATCGTTTGTTGGTTTAATAAAATTTACTCAAACTCGGCATATGAGTTAATCATACCGGCCCCTTCAAAAAGTTATATTGCAATTTTGCTATAAAATATAACAGGGGGCCGATATTTGGGCACCTAAAAATTTACACCCGGAATAGAACGCAACGCCGCTCGCGTAAAGCGACCTTAACCTAGCCGCTTCGGGTATATACAAACCTTGCAGAGACGCAAAACAATCGTATCCTCAGATAACGTAAATGCGTAAAAACTGGCATCGAAAAACTGGCATCCGTGTAAAATTAATATAACATTATTGTATCGTGGGTGGCGGCGTTGCAAAAACGAGACGTACGTCGAATAAGATGGGTGGTAAGCGTGCAGACGGCCCGGGATGGCGGGGGCGTCGTTTCGCGCGTTTTTAGTCGGGTACGTCGCGGCGGCGTCGTCGGGCGGCACGGCGCTGCCGGTTGATTCGCATAACGTCGCGATTCGGCGCGGCAACGACTGACGCGACGGCGTGCTCGACGCCATAACCCACGGTTTACACGTCCCCACCACAGGAGACTGAACGCCGGCACGGAAGGACCCCTTCTACCGGGACCCGTCAATAAGTCTTCGTCGTGCGACTGTAGTTCTATTTGGATTTGGAATCGGATTTGCAAATATTACGTGGACCATTCCGTTACTTAAATTAGTTCAAAAAAAAAACATATTCCTGTGGATATGCTGCAAAAAAATTCGTTATATTTCTTTCGCAAACTCAAGATTCAAATATACTAAAAGTAAAAAAAAATCACTAAACTTAAACTTGTACAATAAACTACCAGTTAAAGTTCTAAGTAATAGAAAATTAAAAAAAAAACATCTTTTCTTAAAAGGCATTGCTTTTACTCGGTCTAGGAATACATGGGTACTCCCGCTGCGATTGAAGTCTATCGAAGAAGCGTCTCACACAGGCGAATTTTCATCAAAACCTGGCCAGAACTTAAAAATCTTGAGCTAAATCCATTACATTACAGTAATCTAGTCACCTAGCTATTATAAATAAACAAACTTTTGTTTTGATTCGCGTTGCTACTCGCCATATTGCTATTGAAACTTGAAAGTTTATTAATTTGTATTCATTTAATCAGAGTGCATCAGTGTGTATTTAACCATTTTTTCGAAAGTTGGTGATTGAAAAATAATAAAATTATAGTATGGATCCTATTGCTAGTGGTAAGTACAAGCATACAATTATTATTATCTACGCAATTATTGTCATCTATGAATTGTTTTAATGTCACAATGGCGTCATTTCTTAAAGTACATAAATGTTTCGTTTTCTTTGGACAAAAAGTACATTTCCCCGCGTTTCTCCATCTTCAAATTAGCATGGAACTCTTATTTAATATGTTTTTAAAAAGACATAATTCCTTATTTATGCGATAATTTGCGATTTTTTAAGAAGTGCTGTCACTGCTGGTATATATTTTTAATTTTGGTAAAATTTACTATTGTAGGGTTTTTGAACATTCAAAATTCAAAAATGCTAATGGCAATCTTGGTAGATTTACAGCTTTTTGAGAAGAAATATTTATATCCTAGACTATTAAGTGTTTGTTGACTAATGGATGACATATAGCATACATGACACTCTAAAACCTGTGTTTGGCCTGTGTCATTTTGAAAATTTGTGACACAGAAAGTTGTTAGGTATCTAATCACATTTTTTTTATATTAGACCAGGAATTATGGGATATGTTTTTGTACTAGATTTTCATGGACGCAACTGTACAAATTTCAATAGTCCATAAAAAGACTTGTCATAAAAATTTCTGCATGGTTATTGCCATAAATAATAAGATTATACTTGCGAAATTCCTAATACTCAAAGTACTCAAATATCAATATCTCATCTTCGTTGTTACCCCTTTTCTCTAAAATATTTATGATTATATTTTTGTAATATTATTTTGATAATTACATATACATTATCATAATTCAAGGTTAAAATTAGAACTGTTTTATGTTTTTCTTCAATAATACACCTTGTTGGTGTTGTTAAAATAAGTTTTAGTAACTGTCACTGAAAAATGTGAACAAGTAAGAAACTAAATTAAAAATATTCTAGCGTCATTCTAAAAAAAAATTATTAATCAGTATTTAATTTAGGTACGACTTTTTGACCACACTGTATATTTTTACGTTAAGCGGAATAATAGTGTAAAGTAAAATCATTAAAATTTATACTTTTCTTAAATAAATTCATTGTTCATCATTTTTAGATATTTTTTAAGATAAATAATATTGGCCAGCATTTTGATCAAATCCGCCTGTGTGCGTCTGTGAACGGCGTGACTGTCCAATGACTTTCTATAATTTTGTTGATGTTGCTTCCTTTTGTTTATTTATATAAACGACTTGTTCTTTGTTATATACATTATGTTATGTATTATACACTGTTTTATATAATTTATTCATTGTCTTGTTTTTTTATACATATTTTTTTAGGTATTGTATTTATGACTTGCCATAATTGTATGAACAAAACGTGGTCAATAAATTCTATTCTATTCTATTCTAAAGAGTCACTTAGGAGGGCTTCAAAATTATGTTTAGCTCAACCCCCTCCAAAAGGACGGGAAGATATAAAACTACCCCCCACAGTGAAATACCCAAAAATACGTTGTATTTGTTTCACAGTTTCAAAAAAGTCTGACGTGGTCCCAGATAAAGAGTCACTTAGGAGGTCTTCAAGATAATGTAGAGGAGGTAGCTTTCTATTATTTTTTGTGGCTTTTAACCATGAAGTCGATTTATTTTTGACTAACTTTAACTAAATTTTCCCATTTTTTTTCTAAGCTTCTGGCAGTCGTGCCCCATTCTCCCCTATTAATGATGTTATACATAATATTTATAATTATTTATTAAAGAGTATTTCTTAAAAAAAACGTTAGTGATTAGTTTCTATTTTTCTATAGAATAAAAATTTTGTTATTGGTATATATAAGATTTTCGAAACCTCTGGCTCTAGGCTAAATCCATAGAATTATCCAAAAAATAACTAACTAACCATTTTTTCCAAAATATACAAATAACCAGAATTTATGTTCGTTAATAATGAAATACACAAAAATTCGTTATTTTTAGTTCGCAATCTCAAAAGCATCTGACATTGTCCAAGATAAACAGTCACTTAGGAGGACTTCAAATTGATGTATTGCTCAACCAGCTTGCGACCGTCGAGAAGATATAAAACTGAAAAATTTATTGTATTATTTGGTCTCCACACAAAGCTATGCATTAATCCACTCTGTATAACGAATTTCTCACTCTCTACACGGAAAGAAAAAAGGGCATAATTTTATCTCTAGATGATAAAGTTGCTTTAATTCAGGATATAGAAATGGGAGAAAAGATGAGGGAGAAGTGATGCGGAACGTCGATACGGACTTACACCGTCGACTGTATCCACTTTGGAAGTGCAACGAAAAAGTCATTCAGGCTGAAACAGCAGGCAGCCAAAGCCAAAATTTGAAGATTTGGATCGGGCAATATTGCAGTGTCTTAAAAATGTACCACTCTCTGGATCTATCGTAAAACTAAAAGCAGAAAAGTTTGCTGTACAGTTTTACATTATCGATTTCAAGGATTCGGAAGGATGATTGGGGAAGTTCAAACAGAGACATGGTATAAATTATGGAAAGATAAGTGGCGAAGCCCGTGATGTCGACAGAAACGTCACCAACGATTGGCTGGAGAAGATGTGACGAAACTGGTTTTTTTACGAAATGACGCCAGAAAAAAATCTTAAATTTCGAATCGAAAAGTGTGTGGGTGGAAAATTTTCTAAAGAACGTATAACAGTCTTAGTAGCTGCCAATATGAGTGGGAGAGGAAAAACACGCTAATCGTGATTGGAAAATCAACTAACCCACGATGTTTTAAGACAATCAAGCATTTGCCGGTCACTTACAAGGCAAACAAGTCTGCATGGATGACATGGCAAATTTTTGAAGAGGAGATACGGAAATGGGATGCAGAATTAAAGGGGAAGAAAATATTATTTCTCTTAGATAACTGGCCCTAAACATCCTCATATTCCAAATCTACAGAAGAACAGAACAACAAGTGGATCAGAGCTTAAAAAAAGTATTAAGAATCGATACAGGAAAACCATTTTGATGGAAACGATCGAGTCCGAAGACAAATTTTCTATTAATATATTAGATGCAGGCAACTTTATTAGTAAAGGTTGGAAAGAGGTGACAGCAGAAACAATTCAACACTCCCATCGTCATGAAGGACTGATTATCGAGACAGAATGCGAACAGAACTTGGAAATTGATCAGCCACTAAGCGAGTGGATAAAGCAGTTTCAAACAACAATAGATCAGGATTTTCCTACTACAGCAGACTTGACAGAGGAAGCCATATTACAACAAACAAGAAAGGGTGAGCAAGAGCATCATGAGGAAGAAGAAGATGAAGAAGTTGATCTGGGACCACCACCCACCATTCAACAAGCCCTATATTCAGTTAAGCTGTTAGAGAATTTTTTGTGTATCATGGGTAAGATGCCCCTCTCGAAGGAATGGTGAAAATACAAGCCAGTGTACGAGATGCGTATTGTCATACTAAAAAAATTCAAAAAAAATGACCGATTATTTGAAACATTAAATGTAGTTCTTAAATATTTATATAAAATGTTCCTAAATAATTGTTAAAATATGTAAATAAAATAATTAAATATTACAAAACACATATGCGTATTGTTATGTTTCAAGTGCCTATAACTATATAACGAAAACTCCTTATAACAGAAAAAAAGCAGTCCCTTTAATTTAGCTCCTTAGTTTCGACTGCATTTAGTTCGCAATTTAAAAAAAAACTGACGTCCCAGATAAAGAGTCACTTAGGAGAGCTATCTACTCTCTCAGGACCGAGCATACTGAGGAGCGAAGTCACACATGCCATCAAGCTGATGAAAAATAACAAAGCTCCGGGCCCCGACGATATGTTTTCAGACACGCTTCATTTAGTCAGCGAACAAAACTTGGAAAAGATCGTGACACTTTTTAATAACATCTATGATTCCGGACACTTCCCAGCGGATTGGCTCCGCTCTACGTTCGTTGCAATGTCAAAGGTGAACAGCGCAACATCATGTAAGGATTATCGTCTCATTAGTTTAATGAGCCATTTTCTAAAACTTTTTCTCCGAATACTTCACACAAGGCTCTATCGGAAATGTGAGGAAGTGAGTGGGGCTAGTCAGTTCGGATTCAAGAGCGGGTTTGGAACTAGAGAAGCCATATTCAGTCTTCAGACGTTGGTCCAAAATTGCCAGGATCAAAGAAAGGATGTCTTTATGTGCTTCATCGATTACGAGAAAGCGTTCGACAACGTTAAACACGACCTTCTAATGACATACCTTGGAGAACTGGGACTAGATGGAAAAGATATAAGATTGATCGGTAATCTGTAATGGCACCAGAGAGCGGAGGTTCGAGTGAGCAACGCTGGAACAACCGAAGATTTCGAAATCAGAAAGGGCGTTCGTCAAGGATGCATCCTGTCCCCCATGCTATTCAACCTATACGTAGAAAAGGCATTCTCCGAGTCCATCTCGGGTAGTCCTCTTGGTATCAAGATAAACGGAATCCCCATCAACAATATCCGGTACGCAGACGACACCGTGATATTGGCAGACAACGCACAGGATCTCCAGAGTCTGCTAACGCAGGTCAATGAAGAAAGCACAATATTAGGCTTAAAAATTAACGTCAGAAAAACCAAGGTTATGATCGTTAGTAGGAGCGATATTCCTAATGCGCGAATACATATCAATGAAGAAAACATCGAACAGGTCACACAATTTAAATACCTGGGATGCATGATCAATAAAGGATGGGACCCGGATCAAGAGATAGGATGTAGGATCGAACAGGCTAGGACAACCTTTTTGAGGCTCGGAAAATTCATTACAGACAAGAACTTGAACTTTGGCCTCAGATATAGAATGGTGAAATGCTATGTCTGGTCCGTCCTCCTATATGGTGTCGAGGCATGGACACTGAGGGCACAAACCATCAACAAAATTGAGGCTTTCGAAATGTGGATTCTACGACGTATGTTAAGGGTGTCTTGGGTCGATTACGTGAGGAATGAGGATATCCTAAGAAGAGCCGGCCTGGCAGAGCGAGAACTATTCGAGAACATCAAGAAAAGGAAAACAGGCTATCTCGGACATATAATCCGAGGAGAGCGATACCACTTTCAGCGTCTCATTCTTCAAGGCAAAATCGAAGGAGGAAAAAGGGGAATAGGCAGAAGAAAGTTATCGTGGCTAAGAAATATCCGACAATGGACAGGGATAAGTAACTTCCAAACGCTACAGAATGTTGCAATTAACAGAACCATCTGATAAGAAGGCGATGAACGCCCACGCAGAAATCTGCTTGGCACCTGAAGAAGAAGAAGGAGAGCTTCAAATTATGAAATGCCCAAAAGTTCATCATATTTATTTCCCAATCTCAAAAACATCTGACAGATAAATTAGTCACTTAGGAGAGTTTCAAAATGATGTATTGCTCGACCACCTTGAGACCTTCAAATGACGTTTTATAGAAAAATGAATGAAAAAAATGCTGCCACTTTGTTCTTGCAGTTGCTTTAAATCATAGAAATTTTCATGGGTCATCTCATGAACAAGATATGCACATTTTTTTGCAGTCTGAATTAAAATAACGTATTGTCCTGGAATATAGTTTGGGCCAGCATTGATAAATATTTGTATTTGCTTCTCAATGACGCTGTCAACATTAACCCCTTCTTTCTGAGATTGTCCGTGTAGTAGAAATTAATACTACGATTTTTAAAATCGGCTTCTTTACTATTTGCAGAACTGTCGGTCTATTAATTAAACAAAGATTAACCTGATAAATGCCTGTGGTAGGGACTTCTAGAAGGTTGAGGAAGAAATCAAATATTATATTAGCAAGTTAACTGACTTACCTAAAAGCTCCACTGCTATTCTGGGAAGGAATTAAAGCTTGATTTTTTTTCCTAAACTGTCGGGTTCTAGCAAAAGTATCTTATTAGAAACAGCAAGAGTCAAGTGCTTTTCATTGGGATATTCTACCTCGAATATTTCTTCAGAAACTTGCAAAGTGTCAGCAAGTGGTAATACTGCATTTTCTTTAAATTTCTCTGTGGCCATTTTCAAGATTTCGCCTATACGACTTGAGGACAGAAACCAAATTTTAGTTTTAAGATATATTTTATTAAAATAGCTATAATGTTGTCCTAAAACATGATTCTGCACTAACTCGGTAAATAGGTCACAGAAACTGCGTCGCGATTTTATACGCTTTTTGTTTATTTAATGATTTATAAAAAAAAAACAATTAATACAAAATTAGTCAAATTTGAGAAAAAACAAATATAATCACCTGGAAATAATACAAAACTTTTTCTTTCATTCAAAACTCTAAATATTCTTAAATTGCTGTTCACTGTTTATCATTAAAAACGACACAAATCCAAATAAAACACCTTTGACCGGTCTTTACGCGAATATTCCTGCTAAGATCTGAAATAAAATGAATAATAGAGTGCTTTTGCACAAACTGTGTGGGTGCGTTTTAATCTTTAAAAATAGAACTTGCGACATCTAGCGGACCATCTATAAAGTTAATTTAATACGGTTTTCTTAAGAAATAACGCGTTAGTAGTTGGTTCATTAAATATAAATGCTTAAATTAAAGCACCGAGCAAATTTCATGTTTCAAAATAATCAAGACATCCGATTATTTTGAAAATTTTTAAAGTGGTAACCTAGGTTGTAAAATTATTCTAAAGAACCGTTCTTTTAACTGGTGCTAAATGGAAACTAAATGGAAAAGTAGAATAGAAATTTTCAAAGAAACTTCCACAGGCTACTAATTTTATTTAAAATTTTTCAATGTTTTTATTATTAATAATTATTAGCTTTAAATTATTAAATTAATTAAATAAATTCACTTTAATTCAATTAATTAAATTAAATTATTAATAACTAAACAGGATAGATAGAATTTTACTAGAAAAATACTAGTTTCGATAAGGAATTTCAATGAGAATGCTACAGGCTGTTCGAAATAAACCAATATATTTGGATCATTTTAAATTCAAAAATCTCGATTTTTTCTTATTGTTTTTTCTGAATGATTTTACAAAAACATCAAAGTATATCATAATATTTTGCGATTTATTTTAAGTTGTCCAATATTTAACCGTCTTTCAGTCTAAGTTTACTTGCTATAACATTAGTTCCAAAAATAACTTTATTATATTGTTGCTTCGCCCTGTATGGGTAAAATATTGAACAAATGCATTTAAAATCAGGTATTGAATTTTTTTTGTAGCAAACAAAAAATATTCAATATGGGTTATACAGTAGACCTCGGTCAAATTAACAGAACACCATTTTTCAAAAGCCATTTTTTAGTTTTGTGTCAAATTTCACAAGTAATTTTGACAAATCCGGAGGGTGGTTTGGTAAAAGGCTTGCAATATCTCCGGATATTACTCCACTAGATTTTTATTAGATTATTTATTTCTCATCAGATTAGGACCACAAAGGTGATATGAAAAATAAGCAGGACTCACACACCTATTTTTAATTGCCTTATTTGGATTCTATAATTTTAACATTTTTACAAGCACATTAGTCTTAGGGAATATCGCCTACATTTCAACAAAATTTAAATGAAATGTAGTTGGCGTTATGGAGCTAAGAGAGCGTCCGCCTAAAAAGTAAGATCAGCTAAAAAGTGATGTTATTTACATTTAGATAGCTATAGTTGTTCATTTGGTTATGGGTCAGTTTATTGGATTCATATTATGTCACCTTGATATGACGGAATTAATAAGTTTACATAAAAATCATATAAAACAAATACAAATCTAAAAACAATAATTGAAAAGACAAAATTTTAATTTTTTTCTTTGTATTTCCCCTATTTAACAAATTATTGTAATAAAAAGTATCGAATGTTTAAATTTATTTTTATATGATTTAATGTAATCATGGTCTGTCATAAAGCTTAATAACTCTTTTGAAAAATAGGTTATCAAGCTGAACGAAAAATTAAACCAAGAACAAGACGTGAAAGGTTTTACAATAGAACTTTTCTATTCTTAACACTAGGTTCCAGAGGGTCTTTTAAATTTTCAAATCAATAGTGTTCCTGTACTAAAAATTGAAAAAAATACGAATCTATTGTTAAAAGATTTGAAACACTCTGTGGAATTGACTGATAAGAATAGAATTTTTTTATTGTCAAACCGTTGAAGCCTTGTTCTTTTTTGGTGGTTCAATTTTTTAATACAATATGTTTTATGGAAACATATTTGAATATTCAACATTTTTGTGCAAAATGTGCATACTCGTATATTTGTTTAAAAATTTCCATTTTAAACTATGTAAAAATATAAATATGTCATATTGTTGGAAAAAAACCCTCGTAACCCCCTAAAATAACGAACGACTGCACGTATCTCAACACATCAAAGATCATCAAAGAGACTGCGGCAACATATATTTTATTCTGTAAAGTTAGACTACGTCTCTGACATACGAACATTAAGACCCGGACTAATAAATTTATGTAGAAAACTCGGGTCAACTGAGATCACTCGTAGGCAACACTCCATGCACTTGCAACACACGGACACAATTTCAAAGTTTGTGTGCAATACAAGTGGTACCGTGACAGGTGCAAATGAAACTAGTTGCAAATTGGTTGTCTACTTATATAATGGCAACGTATAAAAACCACACTATTTACAAACTTGAATAAATAATTTACAAATATACAGGTCTACCACATTTTCAAGGCCGCGTTGAGTAGGAACATGGCCAGTTTGAAAATGAGGATCCAAAATATCGCCAGCACAGTGTAGTGCGCTGCCATGACCTTGTAGTATTTTACGCGACCTTGAGGAATGGTGTCCAAGGGGTCCTTCAGCAGATACAAACGCGCACCTGGAACACGAGCCATATGGCAATCACTACTCTGGTTAATGGCATGAAAGAAATAAAGAATACCCGATTTCATTTGTAAAATAGGTTTGCGTTGAAAGTTTTTCTCAAAAAATATGGATCTAATTAGCAGGCTTAGTTAAACAGGTGACCTTACAGCCTACTTATTGACATTCGCAAGCCATGATTGAAATTTGAAGAAACATATGTCAAAAAATACTTGTTTTAGAAGAATGCTACTAAAAAATAAATAAACATATATTAAATATCCGCATTTATCTTTATTTGAGTGTAATTAAAAAACCTGTCAATTGTCACTTTTCTTGAAATTGGGTTGAACTGTTCATACCCCTTGTGTATGTGTAGAAATACATGTCCCAGTTGAAATTCTCCAGGTTGAATTCGAAAAGTTCCTTGTCTTGCTTTTTCATCCTGCTCCACAGCGATTGGACATTGTCGTTCTTAAATTGCCATTCGTTCATGGTGAAATAGCTTAGAACATCGGCGAACTTGTTGATTTTCTGGTAGCCCTTTACTAGCCTACAATTCAGAATTTTCTAATCTAAGGGGCTACTTCTTGACTAATTGGTGGATCCACTGACGTATCAGCAAAAATTGACAAAAATTAACGAGATACAAAGTGGTAAAATTTGGTTTTCTCATTTTTCAACAATTTTTGTGATGTCGATATGAAACCCGGACTATGAATATCAGCAACTGATGCCAATATCGTTGACGTATTGCGTGAGCGATACGAGATTATCTTCGTTTTTTATTCACAGCCCTTACAAGCGAAAGAATTGGTCCATTATTCAATAATCATTACTAACCCAATAAAAAAATTCTAAAAAAATTGTAAATGCAACGATATGAGTTCTGGAGGTTTATGTGCAATTAGATTGTCAAATAGGAGCCCAACAATCTAGCGAACACCGCATCGCAATTTTTAATGCTCCCAAAAAAGTGCAATTTTATTAGTTAGCACCCTCAATGATATTTAAACATAAAATAAAATGTTACTTTTAAAATATGTTCATTGAAAGTTAATTTCGGTAATGCCAGGCTCATCTTTGGTGGTAACTGATTTAATAGGAACTCAATTTACATTAAAAAAAAATCTGGCCATTTAAATACGGTATTTCTAATAGGCAAGTAAGGGGACAAAGAAGTTGGAAAGCACTACAAATTGGCTTTTATACTTGCATTAATATAATTAATATAACGTCTTGCGCTGCTAGTTTCTTTGAATTATTTGGTAATCTCTTTTTTATTTAATAAAATTTTTATTTTTTTATTTTTTACTAATGTCTTATTTAAGAACTAGATTAGTTTTATAGTTTTATAAGTCCTACATTTCAGGGGTAGTTATTAATATATAATTAGGTTTTCAAATATAACGCTAATTTATTAGTTTACAGGCCCCACAATATTTAAACTTAAAATAAAATGTTGTTATTGGTGTTTACTACTTTTTTAGAATAACCTGGAAGGCATTGATATTTTTCCGTTTTAACATGCTTATTTAGTATTATCACTTATTCTTCCATTAATGATGAGGTTTAATCACCAATAAGACAAAATAATTAATTGTTGGATACTAACGGTATTGTCTATTGACATACATAAATGCAGTAGATGTTCACAAAAAATTAAAATATTAATAAAACATTTTTTTTTTAAATAATTCATTTACAATTCTCAATATCGCCATGAACACCAATTTTGTTTTTATCTCAACAAACGCTACGCATTTTTTTTGACTCTCATCATATGGATCTCGGTAACGGTAAGGTAAATTAAATAATGTTCCGCTTTGAAACTGAAGTTATTTTTGTTACTTCCGAGAAAATGGGGGAACATCTGAAGCTTCCGGTTTTCGTTTTTTTATTTTAAAATTTCGAAAAAATCATTGGAACTCTTTAGGCTTCATCTTATGGTCAGATCACAAATCCCTGACAACGTTTCTTTTTTCTCAAACCATCATCAACTTTATTTTTTTTTCTTACGGTCGCCATCTTGGATTTTTAAGTGTTGAAGAGCCCTTATTATTACCTTTTTATTCATGTATTGTAAGTTGCATTTATGGTCCCCCAAATTTGAAATATTGAACTAAAACTTTTATTCCTTAATAAACTATGACTTTTCAAATGTGTCTATGACATTTTAAAATCTAGCGCATTACTGTGTCGTTGAAAATGATATATTGTAAAATTTTATGAAAAAACCATAGAGACGGTGTCAATATATTTGAACACGTATCTTGAAAGACAACAACCTAATCGAACTTTTCTAACTGAGTTTGCTTCGTTTGAAAAACAAAATGTGCTTCATTAAATTCTATATCATTAAATATCACCCTGTATATGGTGAATATGAAAAATATAATTTAATAAAAGCTTACATCGGTTTTTTTCCTAAACAAGTCAAAACGAAATCGACGAAATAAGCGGGAACAGTGTGCAGAAAGAAAACGGCGAGCATGTGCTCGTAGTAGTTCGACCTCATTTTGAAGCAGTGCCGCCAAACTATCTTCTCCGATGGGATTTGAGTAGCGTGCTTTGTGGAAAGTCTGTCGAAATCGTCTGGAACAGATAAGATTCGGTGGCTAAATGCTCATCGACATTTCCCAGTAATTTCTTACCCCAGGTTATACCGTTTTGCACCGTGCTCACGTAATTGTAGACCGGTATCTCCTCTTCGAACTTCTCTTCTCGACTTTGCTTGTCCCGGGTCTCTTTGTTGTCGTTCAAAGTCCTGGAACACCGCAGAGCCTTAAGCAATATCAAAGAAGCATGCAACCAGCTTAAAAACTTTAGAATAGGCATCACCCTAAGTGTTTTGGCATTTACTTTGTAACCTAAGAAGTCATAAGTCATCAGAAAATAACACAAACATTGATGAACCCGATACCTGCTACCATTTTGGCGATCATCAGTGATAAAAATACACAATTTGGAACAAAAGAATGATGTTTTTGGTATTTTTCCCTTGTTGAAAATGCATTTGATTCGAGTATTTTGCTTATGACTTAAAATCATGGTTGTTTTTATAATAAATTTGTGATTCTTTTGACTATAAACGCTTTTGAGATAATTTCATTGACTTTGTCTTTATACACTTTCATGGTTACGTTCCTGCCGAAAATCTTTTACGTAAGGTCTTACGGCCTTAGGTAGAGATTCTCATTGTACGACCAAAAATATAGTGCATTTATTGGTTTGACGCTTTAAGTATGTTACAGTACAAATTCTCGAGCTTTCACCAGGCGAGGTTGTTTTCACTGGATAATTCAAAGGGTAAGGGAACTGTATTCTATTTATCTTACAGGTAAGATTGAAAATAATCATTGTTGTCTTGTGTGCCTTCGATTAACAACATTATTCTTCTTGTATTTTTGTGTCTTAGATCTTCGATTTGTAAACAACAACAGTCTTTTTTAGAACTGTAAATTATATTAGCATTTCGATATCACAATAAAACGGACATGAATTCTTGACATTATCCCAGTATCATGTAAGGAGAAATAACTGCACCAAAATTTAGTGGTTGTACCATAAACCTAATTTGGCCAGAGGTAGCTAAAATATCAGTACAAAGCTGGTCTAACTGGCGACAGTAGCGATAGTTATGATTTTTTAAGTAACACAATATTTATCGTCATGGTATATACAGATATATGGTGCTTTTACAAACCACCCCGAGATTAACTGCCTACTGTTTATTACTCCAAAAGTGCAACCCATATAGAACACCCTGCTGAGCATACCCTTACCATTCCAGGACCGTCCTAGGAATTTATCTACCTACACCCACAAGCAAGATATAAGTATGTTTTCAATGTTTTTCACACACTAATTCTTAAAACATCTACATAAAAAAAATAGTACAAAGAAACAATTTATTACGTTCTATTTTATTGCATTTCTACATAATATCATGTTTAATATACAAAATATTAAATAAAATAATAATAAAGTATCAGTCACTTGAAAAATCGTCACTATCTATAAATAGAGTACAAGTACTTACTATTCAGTGAAAAGGTACATAAATGCGAATTTACTGGAAGGATCACAGTCAAATACCTCCGCAATATATACGAACATATTCCTATTTATATTAAAATATTAAGAACGATACATATCACCCCACAGCATCAATGCTTAATGAAATTTAAAACGTACCATTTACGTTTCAAATAAAAAGTTTAAGTTTCTATAAATATTCGTTACGGTCCATCTGATTCAAGATCAACTTATTGCAGAATAAACATATAAACGGTCCTGCGAAGATCTGCTGTTAAGGTACTGCAAAATGCTTAAAACGTCAAAGCAATAAATGCACTATATTTTTGGTCGTATTATAACACATTTTGGAATATTCTAGCTACACTTGTGGTGTGGTTTCGTTGTTCGCAGGGTGATCGTTGGATTGGATGGTCGTTACAAATCAATTTAATTTTCGGATTGCCACTGCTGATGCTGTAGCGAGGTTGGTGTTGTGCAATTTTGGTATATACATTATGGCTGATTTAGAGCAAAATGTTTAATTGATTAAGTAATGTAGTGTAATTCAAAATATTGGAGCAGATTACATTATTGACAAACTAAAGAGAACAAAAATTAGTTACTCTTATTTACAAACAAGAGATAACCTACAAGGGAAAGTGTCAGTGCATTTGGATGGTTTTAATTCATGAGTAAATGAGAAGCAAAATTAATTTTCTGCTACTGTCCTTCATTAGGAACCACTGGAATGCCAAAACTACTAAGACTTAGAAAGACAATCTTACATCTCCACAACAAAGTCTCTCATTGCTTCACTTTTTGAGCTTTTGAATATAAATTCCACCTTCTCACTAAAATAATTTTTTAGGTCAATCTCTCAAAAATTTGAATAGCAAGGTGAGTTTCAATATTTTCATTTGAAGAATACGGCTATTCTATAAGATAATGGCTTTTGCATTGTTATCTGAAATTCGATTCGATGTCATGCTGGATATTGTTTACAAGATTTTAATAATTTCAGGTATTTAATATTTTTTTCTCATGTTTTAAGTGTTGTTTGTTCACAGCAAACGGCTGATAGAACCTAGCTTACATTTCCTTAGAGGCATATAATAAACAAACGAAATTGAGGTGAACATTTTTTATTTTTTAGAACGTAATATAGATAGGCCAGATATTCTAGAATATGTTACAGAAGATCAAATAAATGAACTATGTCGAAAACAAAGACAAAGATTTATAGACTTCTTAAATACTAGACCTACGAAAAAAAAAAAAATGAAATAAACTAAAGAAAATAAATTAAGTACCTATTATAATCAAAATTATACAAAATACGTTAGTCTCATCATCATCACTAATTATGTTAGTATTCCTAAATATTTACAGATTTATTTGGAAATTTATCTCAAGAAACTTTGAAATCTCATTTTGTAGGTGGGTCACACAATTTCGTATAATACCTTCCACTAAAACTAAAAGCAGAAAAGCTTGCTGAACAGTTTGGCATTATCGATTTCAAGGTTTCGGAAGGATGATTGGGGAAGTTCAAACAGAGACATGGTATAAATTATGGAAAGATAAGTGGCGAAGCCCGTGAAAAGTATAGTAAATAGCAGAAAAGTACCCTGCTAACTACATTTTTAATGCTGATGAAACTGGTATTTTTTACAAAATGACGCGAAAAGTGTGTGGGTAGAAAACTTTCTAAAGAACGTACAACAGTCTCAGTAACTGTCAATATGAGTGGGAGAGAAAAAAGAAAGCTAGTCGTGATTGGAAAATCAACTAACCCACGATGTTTTAAGAACATCAAGCATTTGCCGGTCACTTGCAAGGCAAACAAGTTTGCATGGATGACATCGCACATTTTTGGGATAAAGAATTAAAGGGGCGGAAAATATTACTTCTCTTGAATAGCTGCCCTGCACATCCCCATATTCCAAATCTACGGAATATTGAATTGGCATTTCTTCCAGTCAAAACAACAAGTGTATTACAGCCGATGGACCCGAGCGTAATAAAAAGTCTTAAGAGTAGACACTGGAAAAACATTTTAATGGAAATGATCTATATAATATGCTAGATGCAGTGAACTTTGTTAGAAAAACTTGGAAAGAGGTGACAACAGAAATAATTCAACACTCCTATAGTCATGCAGGACTTATTACCGAGACAGAATGCCAACAGGACTAAGAAGGTGATCAACCACTAAGCGAGTGAATAAAGCAGTTTCAAACAATAATTATGTTTACAAGTGAGAAGTTGCAAGATTTTATGGTAATAGATCAGGATTTGCCTACAACAGCAGACTTGACAGAGGAAGCCATATTACAACAAGCAAAAAAAGGTGAGGAAGAGCACCAAGAAGATGAAGAAGTTGATCTGGGACCACCACCAACCATACAACAAGCCCTATATTCAGTTAAGCTGCTAGGGAAGATGCCCCTCTCGAAGAAACGGTAGAAATACAAGCCAAAGTCAAAAGAAAATGGCCGATTATTTGAAATATTAAATGTAGTTCTTAAATATTTATATAAAATGTTCCTAAGTAGATGTTAAAATATTTATATAAAATAATTAATTATTACAGAACACATATGGGTATTGTTATTTTTCAGGTGCCCATAACGAAGAAAAAAAGGAGTCCTTTCAATTTCGCTATATAGAGTTTCGACTGTGTATGTAACTATACTTTGTTTCAAAACTTGTTTTATTTAAAGCTGCGAATTTTATTCCATGAACGAAAATTTAAATTCTAATTTTTAAGAAGAAATTTCAGCGAATGTGTCCCAAGTAACATTTTAAGTGAATAATGCCTAATCTTAAACCAATCCTTAATGATCTTGAGCCGAAGCAATTATGGAATTATGATAAAAGTGAAGGCTTTTAAATTCGTGTAACTTTAGCTGGAAATTTCCTCAAAATCATTGTGTGATAATGTCAAATTTCTTCATATAAAGGAATCCTTCTTATCAGTGCATTATATTATCTTTAGGATTGAAATAGGAACTGTATATCTCTCTATCTATAATTTTAAGCATTGTGACGGTTCAATTTATGTTTTGTTAGTTAATTAGTGACTTAATGCGTTACCTAATGGTTGCAACGTCCCAGAGAGCGGCCAAACAACTGTTGATGACGTAGTCCGCTGGTACCATGTCCGCCTTGTTTTCCTTTTTCCCGTGAACGCTCCTGAGCAATCCCACTGCCACGCCCAACAATACCCCAGTGGCCCCATATATGTTGTCAATCCACCCCGCCACTGGCTCTTTTACTGTTGCTATCACTAGAATTAATTTTAAAATGTTGGGAAATTCGTTTGCGAAGAAGCATATACAAGGCGCGTTCAAAAAGTGAAATGATCATCGATATATTTTTTTGTTATGTTGGTACACATGTCCTTGACATATGTTCACAGTTGCAGCCAATTTGCAAGTTTTTTTTTGAGACACATATCATATCCCAGTCACGGATGTATTGGGTTGTACACAAATTTAAAATTGCAACATTATGGCTGTACGAGGGGTATTCAAAAAAAGTTGAGCTTTAAGATTTATCAAAAAGTATTTATTTTTTCATCAAAATTAATGTTGTCCCCTTCAGAGTAATCCCCTCAGATATAAAACACTTGTGCCAACGTTTTTCCAATCCTCGAAGCACTTCTGGCAAACACTTTCTGGTATAGCCTTGAGTTCTTCCAGTGATTTTTTATTTCCTTCAAACCTCCTTCCGTTCATTGGTTTGTTGAGTTTTGGGAACAGGAAAAAGTTGCAGGGGGTCATATCCGGTGAATATGGTGGTCGAGGTATGAAGGTATGAAATTCTTTGAATTGTTTCCGGACGTTTTCTTCGTATGGCCCGTCGCAAACGGGGCATAAAGTCAAGTTAATACTCCTTGTTGACCTTGTGGTAAGAACTCTTGAAGTACCACGCCACAATAATCAAATAAAACAGTAAGCAAAACCTTGACATTTGATCGAACTTGACGTGATGTTTTCGGTCTTGGCGGTTCTATCTATATCTATAATTCCTCGCCTTTTTGGGCGTATCAGGATCATCATTGGCGTCGTTTAACAGCTACTGAGCGATGCACCATCGACACTCATTATGTTCAAAATTAAACAGTTTTGGAATAAATTTTGATGCTACACGTTTCATGCCCAAAACTTCTGAAAAAATTGTATGGCATGAGCCAATAGAGCCACTTCTCAAACCTTTTGTTTCACTTCCTCAAAACTTTCATCTGTTATTCACGTGCTGGGGCGTCCAGAACGAGGTTCGTCATCGGCCTCATTTCGACCATCTTGGAACGGCTTGTAATACTTATAAAGATTTTTTTTCTCAAAGTAGACTCACCACAAAATTTTTTGACTGCAGAAAATCGCCAAAACTGTGAACATATATGTCCACATATGTATACTCCAAAGCATAACAAAATATAATTCATAAAATCCCAAAAGAGTAGTTAAAGACCGTAATTAATTTTCAAAATAAATAAGAACTAAAAGTTCAGATTTTCGCGAAATTATATATTATGACATGACAATTGTTTCGACAACAACGATCATCAGATTAAAATGCGAATAAGTAGGCGGTAAAAAATGAAATAAAAATGTAGCATTAAAAATGAGAAATATAACAATATAAAGACCTTTTTGAGAATGTTTTTCGATACTTTTTTAATATTCAAGTAAGCATGAATATCATTTAAGAGTTCATTAGAAATTTTAAAGTATTGGTATTGAAGTTAATCTGCTTCTTTTTAGGTTAGCATTGGTTTTCTTCTCACCTATGGACGGACGGTAGAGGCCTACGGGTAAATTTTTCGCTTCTTTCCTGATGACGTCTTCGGCGACGCATTTGGTGAAAGCGTACGTGTTGGGGAAGTCTTCGAGGAGTCTGAAATACGCACGGACTTAAAAAAAAAAGCAATGCCATTTGTCAAACTGCCTTACGTTTTGGTAATGGCGTCCAAACGGTCGTCGTCCAGACAGTCTACGAGCGTTATCAATTTGTCCCCCGATATTGGAGGTTCGTAAAACGTTTCGTCTACGATTTTTCGGTTGCAGTTCGAGAATGCCGTCGAAACGTGCAAAATTGCCTGCAAATAATATCATCACAGTGATTTTTTCGAAGTGACAATTGCTGTATTAAAAGTGCGAAAAATACGTTGCAAATATTCATGAAATCGGCTAATTTGTTTACTCCTTTGCGGTTATGACATCAGTGGCCATTAACGCGGAGTAATAGAATTCGTTTACGCGTACATAGGTTTGGTTCGTTGAAGTTTCCAGTTATTTTTGAAAACATAAACATATGACATAGTAATAAGTAATAAGTATCTTTGACGTTTTAAGTATTTTGCAGTACCTTAACCGCTGTCATTAGTAGCATTGCGCGGTAAAACCCATCCTGACAGATGCATTAAATAGATCTTCCTGAGATGGACCGTAACGAATGTTTGTAGAAATTAGAAAAATTCCAAATAATTTCATAAATAAAAACATTTTAATAAAGACTACAAAATCGATTCGATAGCACAACAAAACGGACATGAAATCTTGACATTACCCCCGTATCATTGTATATTTCGTAATCCGGTAGCTGAAATATCAGTACAAAACTGGTCTAAGTGTAAAAAACTAACACTAAACGAAAAAAATATTTGCCGAAAACGATTAGTGACGTAGTTGATCACTGAACTAGGGGACGACAATAACGATAGTGACAATTTTTTAAGTGACTGATACTTTATTATTATTATTATTATAATGAAATAGAACTTAATATTGAAATTGAATTGAAAACATGTTTTGAAGTAATTAACAGTAGGCAAAGTTAACCAGGAGGTCGGTTGTAAAAGCACTATATTTTTGGTTGGAGTATAACTCTGCAGCAGAAAAAAGTTGATAAGTATTTCATGCATGTTGTTGCCCTTATCTGATATTCGCTTTATGACTCAAAGAAAAAAGACTCCGTTAAAGGCCGTAAATAGAATGAGATCAATTCCACTAGCTTGCCAAATATCTTTCCTAAAGTCACCCAACAGGGTTAATAAACTTCATTTGAGTAATGAGTTTTAGGTTTTTGCACAGCAGAACACCCGTGAACGAACTGGCGAAACTAATGAAACTAATACCTTAATCATTGCATAATCGATCATTTCACCGTTGAAGTTACCCTACAAAAATTGTCAGCATCTCTCAAATAAAGTTGGAAAATGGCAGCAGAGTGCCAAACATGAAATTTACCTTTTTGCTTGAGACACATTAACCTTTGAACATTAAGTTTCTAAATACTCCTAATGGTGTACGATCCAATATCATAAAAGGAAGGTTTATCAGTAGAGGAAGATATATTCATGTTAGTAAAGTCTAAACTAGTTGCGTTTGCCAGCACTGGTTACACTCATTATTTGTTATACTTATATTGTTATGATAATAATTTATATTTTTTCATGTAAAACACCTCTGCAGATGTTCTAAAAACGCCAGAGAGCTAACTGGTATTACAAGGTCAACCTTGCACCGATTCTTTGATAATGATACATTAGACAAGAGAGAAGGTGACAAGACATAATAAAAGTGTTTATGTATGGTGTTACAGAGTGGATTAGTAGAGAAGGAAGTCACTTGATTTACTGCAGTAAAACTGAAAAGAAAAAGATCGATCTACTGACCGATCAACTGCATTTGGAAAATGACAAATGATCTATTTGAAAATTGGGTAAAAAATCTCTGCTTTCAAATACCTCACCAGGCAGAGTAATAGTTGAAGGTATTTCTGGTAATCACTTTAACTCAAAAAGTACCAACGACCAGCAGCAAAAAAAGAGGTATTACAAGAATTACCTAGTCATGATCTTAATTTTAAAGTTATCAAAATAAAAAAAATACGGTAATTTACCCCTTGTCACTGCGATTTGAATCCTTTAGAAATGATATTGGTCGAATTAAAGAACCATCTTAGACGCAATAAAATTAACCCAAAAATGTGCGCCGATGTACTTGATATAATGAGAATATGTGTTAATCATGTACTTGAAGTGGAAAATAATTATAAAAAAAACGTGAGACAACGTAAAACCATTAATTATACCCTTGGATGATAGTGATAGTGCAAACCACTCTGGCAATTAATTTTATGTTTATTATTAATATAATTACAATTACACAAAACACTTTGTGTTTCATTTTCCTCACGTCTACCGATTTGATTTATTGGGAAAAATATGCCTACGATCAGATGAAAATAGTAGCATTATTACAGTCATGAACATTTATCTTGTGTATGACTGTACTACTTCCGGTTTTCGGTGTTAGTCTATGATGTCAACGGCAAAAACGATGTTAATGAAATCCCGAGTATAGTCTGTCTCGATCTTCATCGTGTTGGCTTTAGACGGATCCTTCCAAATAAAACTTTAACGATGTTATTACCTATTGTGATTGGGTAAAGTCGTTAACAAAAAATTTATTCTTACTTGAGTAACAAGGCAGGGGGGTGGTGGGGCAGGTGTATTTCTTTCTTTCTGATATATTTCATGAGTGTTGACTATTTATGGCATTGTTGAGTAATCGTTTTTACTGTGCCTTTCAAATCTTTAATCAGTAGATGACTTATTAAACAAGAGGCTTTCAAAGAAACCTGTCTACTTACAAAAACCCAATATTGTCGATTAGGGATGTTATTAAAAGTGGAGAATTGAAAAAAATGAATAAATGTAGTGTATACTTACCATATAGACAATAGTGATGAGGACCGAATAAGAAGAAAATATATTGTCTCTATCAAAGCGAAGTTGTCCCTACCTTGGATAAGAAGCTTAAAGAAGATGAAATCAATATAAATGTACGCAGTGTCCCCTCCATAGAAGTGTTTGTGACATGGGATTTAAGTACCGCAAAATAGACAAAAGGCAAAAAGTAATGGAATCACACAGATTAAGCACTTGAAGAAGAAGTTAAACGATATAGATTTGACAACACATCCATAAATAATATTGTTGAAACATATTTCGATACACATGACACTAACGAAAGGAAAACGTATCAATATAATACACGCTGGGTCAGAAAACGAGAATATTGAGGATTCCAGCTTGGATTATCATGAAGATAGAAGTGCGGAACTTTATGAAAACTGGTTTCAAAAAAACCTTTTCAAAAATGTTCCCAATAAAAGTGTTATTGAAATGGATAACTCAAGCAGCTATAGCCCTCTGCTACGTAAAACATCAGCTTCATCAAGTTCAAAATCTGTGATCCAGGAATATTTGTTAGAAAATGATATTTATTTTGGGATTCAGTTACAAAAACGCGCAATTTTTGGAAGACCTAAAGACCTATTCTAAATCTCAGTGTTTATTATTTGATAAAAAAATGTAATTAATAACGTACCAATTGAGAGTTGGATTCAGTACAGCACATTATAAAAATTGAGGATTCTTACATTTCTATACAAAACAACGTAAATCCTATTATTAACTTCAATGACCACTCTGACTATTTTTTTTTCCGTTTAACATCTACTTAGAAACATTTTATATAAACATTTAAGAACTACATTTCGTTTTGAATTTTTTTTGTATGCCAATACGCATCCCGTACTTTGGTTTGTATTTTCACCATTTCTTCCAGAGGGACATCCTCCTCATGATACATAAATATTTTTTCTAGCAGCATAGCTGAATATAGGGCTTGTTGGTGGTGGTGGTCCCAGATCAACTTCTTCATTTTCTTTTTCCTGTTGGTGTTCTTGCTCACCCTTTCTTGCTTATTGTAATATGGCTTCCTCTGTCAAGTCTGCTGTTGTAGGCAAATCCTGATTAGTTACGTTTCTGTCGAGATCACGGGCGTCGCCACTTATCTGTCTATGTTTGAACTTCCCCAATCATCTTCCGAAGTCTTGAAATCGGTAATGCCAAGCTGTTCAGCAAACTTTTCTGTTGTTAGCTTTACGATAGGTCCAGAGCAGCAATGCGGTTAAGTTAACAGCTCAGCTTATTTATTTATTACTCCGCAATCATTGCACAATATTGCAGATAGCATTGGAGAAAAATTATCTATTATTGAGGCGCTTATTGATGTTGATTCTCAAAGTTTATTACTTTCAAGCATCCCTGTATATTGAAGATATGATCTAATCACGATTGCCACGGTACCGTTCCGTTCGCTCATTTTATCAAAGCCGTCGTAACTCGCACGCTAGAATAAAGAGTCATTAATGGCAATCCGATTCCACATTCTCGGACGGTAGTCTCCATAAATTAGTATTAAATCACTTCGCATTCTTTTGCGTAGCGAACAATAACGCGGCGGTGCAAATTGCATTGATAATCGACCTCCAACAATAACTATTATTTCGTTTGGGGGAATTAGAAAGCGTTCGTGCGAGTAGCTACCCCAGGATACGAACACGTCTGCCAAATGTTGCTCGAATATCGTTAATTTTAATTTTATGGTAGGTTAAAAATTTTGAACAAATTCAATGATTTTTGAGAAACGAAGGCACGCAAATCCTTTTGAATAATCTAATGGATGTTTTTTTGATCGATTTCAAACTCTAGAATTTATACCATCTCGAGTTCTTATAGCTTCGACTGCCATCTTTTTTATATCGAATGGAACAATATTGATGATACGATATAATTATTTACATATAAACTAAATCGAAAATACAACACTATTAATACTAACAGAGAATGATACTAGCCTATGCAGATAACGTTGACCCGGTGGTAAATGGTACAGTCAAAATTAAGGAAATGTTTACAAGAATTGTAATTGAAAGTAGGATTAAACATAAACGAAGAGAAAATCAAATACACTATCAGACAAAAGTAGAGCAACATCTTCAAAAATAAGATATATTTAACAAAAGTCCCAACATTATGATTATACGTGCAAGGTATTGTATACAAATACAATACATTTGAGGACATTAAAGTAGGCTATGATAAATTGATGATCACAAACAAAACAAATGAATTTATTTTGACATTAGTTTTAAATTAAAATTTCTAAAATTTGTTCAAAAAGACGCTTTTATTAAAAGTAAATGCAAAAATAACTTGTGTTGGGTTTATTTTGTGCTAGGTTAACCATTTGTGTGCAGGATTAGTTATGCCAAATGGAATTCCCATTTCAAAAGACCTAAAGCAAAGAGTAGTAAATGCATTTATGGAAGGTACCAATCAAGCTGATATTTCAAAACAGTTTATGTTACCTCGGTACAGCGTATCTAGAATAATTTCATCGTATAATGACAGAGGACACTTAGAAAAATTGCCAAAATCGGGAAGACCCAAAAGAACAACGGTTTTGACTGATAGGCGCATTAAAAGAATTGCTCAACAAGATCCTTGGAAGTCCGCATCTCGAATAATTGCCGAAATTCCAGAAATTACGGTTAGCATACGAACTGTGCAAAGAAGATTAGTAGCTTCAAAGTTGTTCAGAGCATTAAGGTTGGCCTTTGCACGCCGGCATTTAAACTGGACCATCAATGACTGGAAAAAAGTTCTATTCAGCGTCCTATTCAATTCTGATGGAATGCGACGTGTGAGGCGACCAATTAATACAAGGTTTAATCCTAAGTACGTAACACCTACAATTAAACATGGTAAAGGCAGTGTTTTTTTATGGTGATGTTTCTCATGGAATGGAGTAGGTCCTATACACTTCATTCATGAGACAATGGACCGATTTGTTTATAGGGAGAATATGCAAAATGTTATGCTCCCTTATGCAGAGTGGGAAATGCCGTTACGTTTTATTTTCCAACAGGACAATGTTCCAAAACACTCTTCTCAACAGTGGTTTGCAGAAAACAATGTTCGAGTTCTGCAGTGGCCGCCACAGTCGCCAGACCTTAACCCAATTGAAAATCTCTGGGAAGAAGTAGAACGTCGCATTCGTACAGAAATTTTTCCAAATAAACAATCGTTGATAGATAAAATTAATGAAGGTAGGACAAATCTTCCAGAAAATGTCACTCAAAAGTTGATAGAGTCAATGCCGCGCCGTTGCCAGCAGGTAATTCTCAATAATGGATGTTCTATAAATTATTAAGGCATAATTTTAATTATTATTATTGTACTAAAATGTGTGTTTAATGTTATTTTTTAAAATTGAATACAATACAATACTGTTAAATACAACTTTTTTAAATAAAATAAAATAAAACACTGTTAAATACAATTTGTTGCTTTACTTTTGTCGCCTTCATTTTCGTCAAATTTTATATTAATTATTATTTAGCTTTCACCAACTAACTCAAGGTACACCCAAAATGTTTTGAAAAATTACTTGCTATGCAAGGAAAGTATTTTATCATAACTAGCAAAAAATATGTTCGATAGTGTATATGCATGTCAACCGAAGAGCAGGTAGAGACCGAATTGGACAAAACATCACTATGGACACCTAAAATTTTGAGTGTGTTAAAGAATTTCAATACCTGAGAGCCATTATAACGCAGAACAACGATGTAACGGAAGAAATTCGTGCAAGGATGCAAAAAGGCAATAGGTGCTACTACTCGCTACAAGATCAATTAAAATCAAAAATAATGTCAAGGAATTCTAAAACCAAAATATACAGAACAGTAATAAGACCGGTAATAACTTACCGCTCCGAAACCTGGACCATCACAAAGCAGAATGAAGCACTGCAAAGTCGCTTTGAGTGAAAAATTCTCAGAAGGATATATTACCGAATTAGAATCAACCAAGAACTAGAAAACTTGTACAGCGAGCCATCCGTCATAAATGTTATTAAAGCACACAGACTAATATGGTTAGGACATGTCCGCAGATCCCGAGGAAAATCCTTCCGGAAAAAGACCTCTAGGGAGACCTAGACTAAGATGAAGAGACAATATTACCAAAGACCTCTACACCCTGGGAGTAGAGAATTGGAGAGAAGACGTCACGGACAGAGACAAGTGGAGGCAGGTAGTAATTGCAGCAAAGACCCGCAAGGGGTTGTGAACTACAGAAGAAAAATTAATACTAACAGCTCATACGTGGCCAGTATTTTCCAGGGGTAACTAGCAACTAGTTTTAGCAACTTTTTTTGACCCACCCTAGGGTTCATATCCACTTTTGCCCAAATCTGAGGTCATTCAGAGGCAAAGTTTCAGCGCTGTAGCTAAAACCGCTGAGAAATTATAACTACTATGGAAACAAAAAAAAAGCTAATTGCGTAAATTCGATGTTGAAATGAAATTACAAATCTCGATTGAAGCAGTTGCGCTTACTCTCAGATTTTTCATTCGCTTGGCCAGTCTGATGAGATCCCTGACGCCTCTGACGTTTATGTGCGTAGCTATCCTCAACTTCTCGTCGAATCGGACAGTGGCGGCGTAGTGCACTACGCAGTCCACCTCCGACACGAGCTTTTCCTGATCCTCCTCACTCAGACCCAGGTCAGGCAATGCCACGTCACCCACTACGGCGTGAACTTTAGCCTTGAAGTTGGGCTCGTGTCTCTTCAGCGGATCGAAAGTCTACAAGGAAAACGAGAATATGGTTAACACCAAAATATAGAACAGTCTATACTTATGACGGAGGAAATTTCTTATATCCGTAACACTCACTATACAGGGTGTTTTCATTTTAAAAAGAAAACTAAATTACTCAAACCCCAAATAGAGTTAATCGACAATATCATAAACAAACACGTATTAGCTAATTTAACAAAATCTCAACTTAATACTAGCAGCAAATTCAAGGATCCTTCACATCTGTCTATGGTAAAATCAATTAATAATAAGGCTTCCCAAAAAAACGTAGTATTTACAAGAGCAAATAAAGGACAGACAGTCATTGCAATCGATTATGGCTATCGATATCAAAACAGTAATTACCGATTCATCACTTTATAATGACAAGGATAAATACAAAAACAAAATAACTGCTTTTTATACTTTTATCAGCAGACTACTTAATGAACCATTTTCTACAAAAAATTTTGAAACAGAATTCAATTTTATAAAATAAATAGCTTTTAATAATGGTTACGACCCCTCTTTGATAGATAAGATTATAACTAAAAAGCAAATAACTCTGAACTCTATTTTCTAAAATACGACAAAACTAAAATATACATATAAATAAAAATAAAAGTTCGGATTCTAACTACGCCATTCACTTAAATTCAGAAATGCACAACTTTAACGATAATTTCGATATTTTACATAATCATTCAAAAAGCAAAAAACTAAATTTGTTGAAAGCTATGGAGATGAACAAAATGAGATATTCGAATTTATTACGGAATGACCAATTGCATGTAAATGCGTCTCCGTTGTTAAATTTAAATTTATAACTGTATACCTGTAATTGAAAATCTATTACTACCTCTTTTTATATATAAATAGTCATATTTTGTAGTTAATGAAATTATTATATATATTATTACTTCTTACTTAAGCTTTATAAAAATATTTCAAAAAGTATATAGAGAGGTATATTTTTGAAATCTTTATAATAGTAGGCTGTGTCTGTAAGAATTATTAATTCTGTTATCAAGGCGGTTGTTTGACAGTTATTATTTGTTTGTTTGACAATTTTTATTATCATTTGAAAGGGTCCCATCGGAATGTAAGAACTCCAGAAATTGAAGAAGTAGTTTTAAACTCTAAAGTTAGTACTAGCTAAATTGAAATTAATCTGAATATCTCGCACGCCTTGGTTTGGAAAATTTTGAACGATTTTCTATTGTCATATCATATTCAACGAGTCCAAGAGATCCTTCCAGTGTTAATTTTTTATTTTTTGCCAATGGTTTAACCAAGAAATACTTCTTAAAGATGAAGCGAACTTTTCCAGGATTGCAATCAGAAATTTCCAGGATACCGATATTTAATTTAAACACCAAGAACAGTTTTGGGTAAATGTTTGGGCTCGAATTGATGGAAATTACTTAATTGTACCATTTTTCCTGGCTGCTATAATTATTGCCGGTTGAAGAAGATGGTTTGCCAATATTGCTAGAAGAAAGAAAGTGTGTGTGAAAGAGATTATTTAAATAACACATTTAATAACCGATGGGCAGGTCGCGGCGGACGTCAACCATGGCCTACCGAGTCTTAAAAGTCTGGAAGAATCGTATAAGAGCCTCCTGTGATTTAATAAGGAACAGTGGAGGTATACTTCAAAGAGTGCGCAGCAATGTGAGGAAAATAGCTGAAGCGTGTATCTTTCAAGATGGAGGACACTTTCAATAACTGATCTAGTTCTATGTTCAACTTTTTCTTTTAAAAGATTGTTATTAATTTATTTACAGACAATTTTGTTAAAAATTATTCACACTAGGTAGTGTTTCTTTCAAATAAGAATTGTTTATTATTTATCTTGTTAGGATGTTATGTTATTTCGTCAAAGCTGTAAAAGTAAAATCTATTTGTGTTTTCTGAAGGACACTACTTGCTTACTAAAAACTAGATATATTGTTTTACACAGATTACCAATTATTATTATTAAAATATTATTTGTTTATATACAGTCAGTGGCACGCGACTGAAAATTTGTTGTTGTTATGATTTGTTGTGTTTATTTTTTTAGTCCGTCGCACAGTTTTAAAAACCAATTTGTCTGCATACCATTATATTAACAATATTGTTATGACCATGCAGAAAAGAGGTGTACCTTGTCGATTTTTTTTTAACAAAAAATCCGATGACTCTATTTACTTCCTACCCACCCAATAAATTGTTAAAAGATTGTATCGTCGTGTTTATTTCGCTTTAAGTTCTAGATAACAATAAAAACTTGTTGCATTCAACACTTACAGGCTCGTTGAAAATCTCATCGAACCTGGCCTTGACCTCCTTGCCTTTTTTGGGCCTGATGAGGATGTAGATTTTGCTGATTTCAGGACACGTTCTCAGCAGTTTCTCAATGCACAGTTTACCCAAGAAGCCAGTAGCTCCCGTAATGAATACCGTCGACTGTTTAAAGAAACGTTTGATGTCGCTGTCCTCTTCCGGAACGATCATGTCTGAAGCTGTTATGTCACCGCCTTCCCTCTCGTCCATGGCGCCTTGGTTCTAGAAAAAAAAGAGTCACTCTATACTTTGGGATCCAAATTTTTTCATATTCTAATTTATTTATTCATTTTTTGATCCTACCCTGTAATTAACACTTGAGTATTATTGATCGGTCCGTGTATACATCTCCAGAGATACATTTTTAAACTAAGAATAATAGTCCATACATTAATATTTAAAAAAAGCACAAAATTGCGTATTTGGCAAGTAATTCTGTATATCTAAAAATATCCAGAAAGGAGATAGTCACAGTTTTATCGTTAAAAATAAAACTGAAAAAGGTAATATTCTCATGCTACCAGATATTGAAATGTAGAATGCTCACAGAAAATGAGAAAATAATAGGATTTGACACTAAACTTCCATCAGCAAAAGGCAAACATTTGAGCCTAAATTATAAAAATGTTAAAAAATATTATATCATGACAGAAAATATAAAAATAGAGACAAAGTGTCTAACATATCTTTATTTTAAAAAACATGGCGTATGTTATTTTCATATACCATGTGTAATATTTTCCTGTGTCTAAAATACTTGAAAAATGCAATGCAAAATAGTTCAGGCCATCTTTTAATAAAAGTTAATGTGATAAAAATAGATTATTCCTATTTTCACTTCTTTTACAGGAAACAACTTTTCTTTTATGCTCCCGAAAGCTAATTCTAATTTAGTTCAAAACAGTCTGGCATATATGTTGTGTCTAGCCAACCAAAACTAATCAAAACTGAAGAACTTTGTTATATTTCAACTACTTTGTTTTAAGTTGTCTTAAAAAAAAATTCGAACAAAGTGTTTTATTTTTCTTTGTTTTTACTTGTATTTAGAAGTGTGAAGTATTAACTATTTTAAAATATGTGTGGTCTAAGCGTGTATTCAATTTTTGTAATTTTTTGTCACTTTTTATTGGGCGGAAGTTCTTTTGATTAAATAAATAAAGTGTGAATAAATTAGCAAAATCGTCTATAATGCTTGAAAGCGATACCTAATTCATATCAATATTACCCATATTGTGCATGTAACGGAAATGATTTTATTTCCACTTTTATTTTAAAATTATCCTTCTTCTTTTATCATCACAAAAATGAGAGATTCATACTTTTTAAAGCGAAAGATTGGCCGCTTGTCTCACAGAAATCAATGTGTTGTCTGTCTAACATTGATAGGTACTTATACTTAAATAAAAGTACTTTATATCTCCCCCATTTGGCATGACAGATATCAATAACCATACATCATCGAAAATCGAACGCAAGCTTTTTTAAGATCGCAGTCACCTATGATCGCCACTATGTAAAAAAAATGAGTTATATTGAAAAACCACAGATACATATTCTAATAATATTTTTATCGATTTTGCTCTATCTAGCTCAGAAATAAGATTTTCTTGTTAAAATATTCCCATTACAATCACCTTGTATATGATAGCCTGTTGAAGAAGGGCATATACGTTATGTCGAGTGAACGTTTGAATACAAAAGTTGTTTCACTCAATTACATACAGGGTGGTTAAATAAATTTACATTTTTTTCAATTGAAAACGCTACATTTTATGACATTCTTAAATACCCCTTTAAAAGACAAATCCGACGATATAAACAAATATCAATATATCGATCTCTATTGCACCATCATTTGTTTTGTTTTGTTGTTTGTTGTTACGTCGTTGTTACATATTTTAGGCAATAAATAATACTTTTTCTCAGACAAAATTCAAAATTGAAACATTTTTATGGGATGCTTCGCAAAAAGTTACGTCTGTCACGTTTTGTATTTCAAACACCCTGTATACTTTTGCATTTTCGGATAGCCCTTTAATTTTTTTTTTAATAAATTCCCAGGCAATATTTTCTTGGGTTCCAGATTTAATTCTAATTTTGTTTTATGTTTTGTTGTTTTTAAATGCCGTTAAATATTATAACAGTTTTTTATTATAAAATAAATTTATTATTTATTATTATTGAAAATGGTGGACATGCGCAAAATTTAATATAATGTCATTATTTTATTTTTGATAAGGTTGGTCAAATGTTACAAACATATTGGAGACGCTTTTAGAATTAAATTTCATTGAATTAATATTACCCCGGAATTGATAAAAATCAATAAATTTTAAACGGTGCATCGTTAGATTCGTTTTTTGAAGGGCTATCCGAAAATGTAAAAATATACGAGGTGTTTGATTTAAAAAAAAAACAGAAATAACATTTTGCGAAACATTACGCGATATTTCACTTTTGAATATGGTCTGGGAAAAAGTATTGTTGAATCCCGAAAATATTGTCCATATAAATGTTTATGTATATTCTAAGACATAAAAATAATTGTACTCAGACTTCCAAGCATTCATAGATTTAGATATAGGTCCCTCTTAAACATTCCACCCCCATTATTACTATTATAATTACTGTTATTTTCAGCTGCGTTCTCTAAAAGCAGTTCGCCTTAGAATTGCAATTTAATGTGGATTTTGATAACACGGATATTTTAAAATGTTTTTGCTGAGAAAATCTCAACACGCCTCGCATTTAATTGGGATATAATATACGCTCCACGGCGTTTTGCAAACAAGGAAATTTCGCTGGGCAGACATGAGCGAACTGAAACCATTCTCGAGGCAAGAAAGCGATATTAAGTGTGATGTGGCCTATTTTAAATTGCATATTTTAAATATTATCGGTGATGCAATGAGTTTATCGTAGATTTGAATTTTAAATTGCGAGTAAAAGTTCTTGGGTTTCGCACTTGCTTGACGGTCTCGCCTTTCGTACCAAAAAAAACGGGCGTACAAATATGACGGAGGTGTTGCTTACTTGGATGGCTACAGTTTTGAGGTTAAGTTTTAGCTAACTAACGAAATTGCAATTTTATTACACACCCTAAGCTGGCAGCAGCAAAATTTATAATACACTGACCCCAGAACTGTAAAAGAATAATCACTTTGGATAAAGAATTTTTGCAATTATTTGTTTGGGTTAATAATCCTATTTAATACTCCCGAGAACTTAACAAAAAATTGCAAGTTTTGCTTTATAAGGAATTAGAGAGTTATATTATAAACTCTTGAATAAAATTAACTCAACATCATAAATTTTCTACATTTTCCGAATGATTTTTTTTATTGTAGGGTGATTCCTTGACAGTGTTATAGTGTTCGCTGGTAATGATAAAAAGTTCATTTTCAATTTCGAAAATTTATAGTATACTGGCTTCAGAACTGTAAGAAAATAATCATTTTTGATCAAGAATCCCGATATTAATGCAATTATTTATTTAGGTCGATAATATATTTAATACTTCCGAGAACTCAACAAAAAAATGAAAGTTTTACTTTATAAGGAATAAGAGAGTTAATTTGTAAACTTCTGAACAAAATTAACTCAACATCATAAATTTTCCACTTTTTTTCTGAATTTATGATCCGATTCGAATGATTTTTTTAAATGTAATGTGGTTCCTTGACAATGTCATAGTGTTCGCTGGTAATGATAAAAAGTTCATTTTCAACTTCGAAAATTTATAGTATACTGGCCAAAGAACTGTAAGAAAATAATCATTTTTGATGAAGAATCCCGATATTAATGCAATTATTTATTTAGGTCGATAATATATTTAATACTTCCGAGAACTCAACAAAAAAATGAAAGTTTTACTTTATAAGGAATAAGGGAGTTAATTTGTAAACTTCTGAACAAAATTAACTTAATATCATAAATTTTCAACATATTTTTTTCTGAATTTATGATCCGATTCGAATGTTTTTTTTGTATTGTAGGGTGGTTCCTTGACTATAGTTTTGTTGATAAGAACAACAAGTATAATAAAAATGTTATGTGTTTTTCCTAAAATTCGTATCACCCTGTGGAGTATATTAGCGACTGAAATATGTAGCAGTTGACCGTTTTATAGCCTAACCTCCTGCGTCGGTTTTTGCTGAGTCGAACTTGCTGACGTTTCGCCAATCATCCTGTTTATATATTGTTTGAGGGGGGTTTCTAAAAAGTATTACAGTAGCCTGTTTAAGTTTCTTTGAAGAATTGTTTTTATAGATTTTCATGATCCAATACATTCATTGTTAACGTTGCTCTCTGGGATTTAAATCAGGACCGTGAGGTGGCCGTTACGTGAACGGAATAGCTACGTAGTTCATGTAGTCTGTGACCGAGCATTATCCTGACTAAATAAACTATTTGGTTTTAAAAACAAAAAGGAACAAATAGCATTACATGTTCAATTACAATGTTTTCTAGATTATATTCACCGTTCATTGATCTTACACGTCACAGAGTCTCCACCAAACGGGATTTTTGGTGAGATATTGCTACTTGCATATCCCTCTCCTGCACTGCGCTAAACACGTTCACATTCATTAATTCAATAATTTCTGCCAAAACGCAATCTTCCAACTCTGCGTCTTCTGGTGAGAAATTGCTTTTTTGCCGGTCTTCTGCTGCCTAAACCAGCCTCATTTAAATGTCTTCTGATTGTTCGATTCCATATTGTATGATTGCGAACAGTTCTAGCCTAATACTAGCTAACTTGTTGTTCCTTAGAGCAGTTTGCCTTCGAGAATGCTAAATCGTTCAACAATAGTAGCATGAAATTAGCAGTAGGCCACATTGAATGAGCCTCATCCACTACAGTTAAGACAACTGCACAAACGAAAAGATCGTTTAATAAGCAGTTTCCGAAACAGTTTTCATAAGTATGACCAATTTTTTTGAATAGATTGAAATGTCAGAAAAATTACTTTATTCATTCATTGATTCAGTGATAAAGTCTTTCTGAATAACAGAGATAATGAAGTAAACCAAAAAAGAGGGTGATAATGATGATTTTTCTTTAAAATATTTTTATTACACCCGGCATAAACCTAAAATGAACTTTTTATCATTATAAACGAAAACTATGATATTGTCAAGGAAGTAACCTACAATGCAAAAAATCATTCAAATCGCAAAGTTCAAAAATAAATAGCATTGGCAAATGGCAAATGGCAAAT